CATCATTATGATCTTCTAAGGACACTCATAGTATGCCGTTCACTGTTTGGTTTGGAAGGGCAATTCTGGGCATGTCGGCTCAGATTGACTAGCAGGTCTCGTTTTGGTCACACCTGTGAACTTCTGTGAAGCGGCAAAACTGTTCGAGAGAGCTACTTCAGCCACAGGAACTTCCAGGTCTTAACAACGTGGCCTGCAGAAGCTCAGTTGTGCACCATTTGGTGCCCCCCAGGCGATCAGCGCATGGTACGCCTACTACTTGAAGCAATGTAGAATTGCCAAGGATCTCGCACTTTGTAGCTTTCTGTGGTGGACATTTTTACTACCTACAAAGCAGCGCCCATCAAACAAGGGCTGAGTATCCTGGTTCTTCTTCCACGCACCCACCCACTATCAACTGAACCCACACCAGTCGCATACCAGCTGCTTCCCCCTCTTACCACTTTCTTTCGAGAAGCAATAGCTGCGAGATTTCAGCCACTTCAAAGAGCACTATCAATCTTTCTTAGCTCATTGAGACAGTGCGGCTCCTGAAAAAGATATTCACCCACTTGGGAACTATTTGAGGGCAGGTGCGATGAATACACTTGAACTGAATGCTGCTTATCCCAAACAAGGTACAAGATTTTGGGCACAGTTAGGCTTGCTGTGGGTGTCGAATGGGACTCAGCTTGAGTACGCCTGCACAGACCTGTGAATTCTTTGACCAAAATAGCTCACTTGTACCATTCCGCAGCTTCACAAGAGTTGAAAGGTCTCACTAAAGGGAGACAACTATCAAAACCTGGTTGTTCATATTCAATAACACACAATCAAGTCGAAGTAATCAAAGTATCAGAAGTGCAAAATGCCCCCTCTAGGCCGAACAGCGTCGAATTTTATACCGGTTCGAAATAAGTACCTGTGACGTGCGCTGATACTACTCACAAAGAAACAGATTTTTCTGCAAGCATTACATGTACAATAAATAAACAGGGGAATAATTAAAGATTCAGAAAATATCATGTTTTTGTAGAGGAATGCAACCCAGTGTAAATAGCTCATCACGCACGTTTTCGTCGTACGATAACAAAACGCTTAGCGACATAAAAATTCAGCTCACGGGGTTTCGAGAGGTGATAATTCGGCTATCAGCATTTCCATGCACATTCGCGCTTTTTTGCGACGCCCTATGCTGATAGGGTCGTAAAGTTCATTAGTCGAAAACTAAAATTTAGACGCCTTTTTCACATTTTTTGAGTGTGAGAAGTCCACATTGCAACGACGCGCACAATCTAGATTGTTCTAACTAGCTAGTTGCCTCGGCATATTGCAACACCTAAACAATGGAACAATTAGGTACATTCATGCTTGGCGACTCGAATCAGTCGCGCACCTAACCGCTAACCGCGATCTAAGCGCTAGAGCGATGCGATGGCAAAGTGTGAACGCGCTCTGATCTTTGTATCGTTCGCTGCAAAGTTCAATATAGATTTTATCATGGCTGTGGTTGAATCACCAAGTAGCCGCGGTCCAGAAGATCATCAGTGGAGCATGCGTTGTCGCAGTTGCGCGGCCTTCAAGTCGCGCGATTAAGTGGTTCGATTGCGAACTATGAACGCAGATCCTGATGAAAGAGACGCGGCAATATTTATTCCTATGATAGCCACATGTCCAAATCTCTCCAGCGCAACATTTACAAGATTTATTATATCTCATTATTTACATATACGAATCAATAACCGTAAAATGGGTATGGTGGCGTTGGAAGGACGTTCTGAGAGGAACAATGAACCGTGAGTGGTCGCTTCTTGCGATCGGAATGTTTTGACGAATCACGAGAGCGTAATGACATCTTCGCGAGTTTGTCGCTGATTCGCCAAGTGCTGTCGCGAGAAAAGGAGGAGGCGTGGAAGGGCTGGGAGATCGGAGTTCTGAACAGAGGAATACATCATAAATTCGTTGAAAAGTCACTGAAAATGCCACCAACCTCATGGCTTCCGGCCGATTCTCCACTCCATGGCGAGCGAGATTGCTTGGCACCCACAATGATTGTGTCATCTGTGGGACTACAGTAACCAGGGGGGATACCAGGTGGCATTCCATAGTCGCGATAGTCACAGTACGGACCACAGTCATTAGGGCTGTAGTAACTGGGAGGTAGAGGAAGCAATGGACACGGAGGGGGTAGTAAAAATGGCAGGGAGTGATATGGACTTGGTGCAGCTGGTCTCACTGTCAGGATAAGGTTGGCTGAGTTGGCTATCATGATGTCTGTCACTTGATCAAGTGTCTTTTCTGATACCTGAAATTGAGTGTATGGAAGCTTAAGAAATGGGGACGTAAGACAATGACCATTGAAAAACCCTACCTCGATTCCGTTGACCTCGACGATCTCGTCATTCACACTGAGCAAGTTTGTCGACGCAGCGAGGCCGTTTGGGAGAAGACGAGAGATGAAAATGCCGGGCACCATCGTGAAGCCCCACGGAGTGAGCCGCTCGGAAAAACCTGCAACAGTAAAAGTTATATCGAATTGATTTCCAGCGTGATCAGCGAGGTCAGAACTAGCAGTTCCAAAGTAAAGCGTAGGAAATAGAAATTCGTTAGAAAATAGAACAGAAAAGAGAAACTATTGGAAATATAATAGCATATCTACATCTTCAGAGCAGAGTTCATTAGGGAAAAGAGCGCCAATCATCAGCACTTAGGCAGCGTTCAGACTTCGCGATGACGGGCTGCAGCGTGCAGCGACGCGATTGCAACAACGTTTATTATAGGCGCGAATGTAGCCGCAAACGGGAATCGATCGGCGCCGTATGCATGCGTTGTGCGTTTCAAGAACGGGGGGAATAGGAGGCCCAATCAAGTCTGGTATTGATCGGCACTGGTCCCTACTAATTGTAGAGAGTTTATAGGAGTCGGAGGATACCAGTTTGTATTAAGGCAGCGTCAACCCTGTTTGTCCTATACACTCTCAAAACGCAAGCTGCAAGCGCCGTTTAATTCCTGTCTGTGGTTGCGTTCGCGTCAATGAGTTGAGGCGCCCTTGCGGTGATAACGCGCGTTACAGCGCGTCGACGCAAAGTGAACGCTGCCTCACAAAAGAATAAGCTTTTTAGACCCACCATCTCTGATGTAAAAGCCCAGCGGCTTGTTATTGTAGAATTTGCACAGGCGTACCCGTCGAAGTTCCCGCGGTAAGATATCTGCGTCTAATATTGATGAAACCTAAAAGAAGTACACTAGTATTCAGTGGAGCTAAAAAAGAAGTCTTTTGTAATAGTTTCCTTGTACAGTCGTGCTCGCTGCGAATGAAGGAGCGCGTGGGGAGTGGTAGTCTGGGGCGGGCGCACAGCTTCGTTTTCCACCAGTTGATGAAGGACAACAGCTGTGGGAAACGACCA